GATGCCTGATGGAGCACAGCTGAAAGTTGGGGCCTCTGGCCCTGGCACAGCCTCCCTGGCCTCTATTAACATGTCCTCCTGACAGCTGCAGCTGGGGGGGATAGAGAAGGGGGAGGTGGGAGGAGGGGCGAGGGCAGCCGGCTGAGTGTGTCAGAGCCTGTGTTAGAGGGAAATAAGTCAAGTGGCCAGCTCCAGGCTGAGCTGATCAATTCCTACTTCCTGACGGGTGGGAGGAACTCAGTGTCCTGTTTCCAGGGCTGCCATTCCTTCCTGAATTTCTGATCTCCTCAAATCAATGCTGCAGGGTCAGCCAGGGGCCTGCGGGTACCTGGGGGTGGGGCGGTGTGTGGTTGAGAGGGCGCAGGGCAGTCACTTCCTTGACCTCTGGGGCATCACACCCTTCTATAGCTTCCTGACACAGGTCACCTGCCCTGGCCAGCAGACCTCTAGGGATAGACGGGCAGCTCAGTCCTTCCCAGGAATCCCTTTCACCAATGGAGCTCTTGCCCTCTGGGCGTCACTTCTTCATCTACCATGAGAGTTTAGTGTCTCTCAGCCTATCAATAATAATATCATCCTACACAATATGTTCACGTGAGTAGGCATTTAACCTGAAGCCCAGCACAGGCTAAATGAACAATTGGAAGCAGCCATTGTTAGTGTGGTTATTATCAAAGAACATTTTGATGTTGAGGGAGGGAACTGGACGAAGGCAGGTCTCCTGAGCCTTAGCCCTGCCATCCCCTTACAGCTGAGTGGCCAGGGGTCCATACTTCATGCTTGGTCTCTTCAGGATGCCATTTTGTGCCATTTGAATTTGGGACTGGGCTTCACAGAGTGAGAAGTGGGGTAAGCCTCAGACCCTGGCCACCTGCCTGGAGGAGGCAGCAAAACTTTTACTGAGCCCAATTTGTGAGCACTTGATTGCTCTGCCCTGTATCTGCAGATGTGTTCACTATATAACCACTATGCACCAGAACCTTGTCTGTAAACATGCCCAACAGTTTGTCCTCATGCTCATAAGAGCTGACATGCCTTGGAAGAGACTGACAGTGAACAAGATACCTCAGAGATCAGCCAGGGAGGGAAGAAAGCAAAACGGAATGGAACACTCTGGGTGGGCCCTCTGGGCTGCCTCTGAAGGACGGCAGTTTGGGAAGAAAGCCAGCAATGTAGTCAGACTGGTGACATCTGAGGACCTGGAAGGAGGGCCAATGTGTCTGGAACATGGAGGCTGAAAGAAATTGGCAAAATGAGGATGGGCTCCTGGGGCTTTGGTTCTGTGGCCCACTCTGGGAGAGTTTTAACTGGGCATGCTCATTTTTTTTTTTTAAAGATTTATTTATTTATGCATACAGAACTGGGGTACAGGCCAGAGGCTCGGGGCGGTGAGAGGCTTCACCAGAGACAGAGTGGGGAGCAGAACAGGCAGATCGATGAAGTACACTGCTGAGGGGAGCAGCGGGTGGGTCAGTAGAGGTCTGCCACACCATGTGGTCACCTCCGGGGCAGGCGGGAATCGAACTCATGCGGAAGTGGCTTTAGCTTCTCAGTGCAGTGCTTTAACCCGCTGCGCCACCAGGGAGGGCCTGGGCATGCTCATTTTTATGTTTCAAGGGTCTCTTGGCTTGGACCCACATCCAATGGAAGCAGGAGAAATCTGGGCAGGCTCCTGGGAGGAGGCAGCTCTCCAGAGACTGGCAGTGGGCAGAGTGCTGGAAGCATCCACGCAGATGCCTGTAGGGCCTGGCACAGACACACAGGTGAACAACTGGCTGGTTTTCATATCTTAATTAGTGATGAATTTGTGGCTGAAAAAAGCACATTGTATTAAGACAAGACTATTACGAGAGCTAGCAGCTCTGACCCTCAAATCCCAATCTGTGGGTATCACCCTCTAACACCCAGCATTGTGACCTTGGAAGTAACTTCCCTTTCCTTAGGCTGGGAGGGACCAGGACCCACCCTGGAGGAGAAGAGAGAGAATTTCAGGTTCAGAGGAGGCCAAATACACTCAGGGTGCTGGCCAGGCACACATGTTGCTAGAACTCTTGACTCAGGTCATCTCATTGGCTCCCCCCGCCCCCCACCTCCACAGCCAAGACAGGGAGGAGTAGAGAGAAGGGATTGAGGTCTCAGTAGGGGGTGTGTGTCCAGGGTCTTCTACTTGTCCATGCTTGATGCCCTAACCCTGGAGGGAGGCACCCTGGGACCTCCTCTGCTTCTCAGAGAGGAAGCTCTATGGCAGGAGTGTGAACTGGTTAGAGAGACAGCTACACACAGCCCTTCTCTCTGGTCCTCAGTTCCTGCTTTGGGAGCAGGAGACACACTGTCTCCCCTCCCTGCCCACCCACCAAAAGAATCACGAGGGAAAAGAGGCCTAGTATTGATCCTATTTATAATGAAGAAATAATATGAATTTTTATTTGTTATAAAAAAGCCTCCATAAGGAGGCTGGTACCCTTCCTTGCCCAGCAAAGGACTATGCATCCAGGGCCATAACAGCTGGGTGTGGGATGTGATTATGATTAAGAGTTTAATTCAGATCCCCCAAGTAGATGGGGAGATTGGGAGGATGGGGTGTGGGTCCTAAAGGGCTGTGGTTGGGGAGTCGGGAGATAGTTCTGTGGGGACATTCTTTGCTGGGTGGCCTTGAGCAAGATACTTGTGTCTGGGAAATGGGTCTGCTGATGGCTCTGGGGGAGGCTTTGGGCCCAGGGAGAAGACCCCGAAGCTGTTTGGGAGCTCTGTGTGGGGTTGGTTTCTAGCATTGAGCTACCCTGGCATACCGCAGAAGCCGTCCGAACCCTAGACACTGAGGTGCCCAGAGGTATTTCTGTCCATTACCCAGCCAAGACCCTTTGCTGGACCCCTGGCTCTTTGTGGACCCATCGGGGAACCTCACAGGATGGGACTTTGTAGGCCCATTCCTCCTGGGGTGGGAACCAGGAAGGATTCCTGTTTGTTCTGAGGGAGAACTTCCTGCTAGCTTTTGATCTCCTGGGAGGCTGTTCTCCTGGGAAGAGGAGTTAACCAGGACACCCCAGACCCGTCAGAAGTAGGGAAATGTGCTGGACTGGCACCTCCTGGGTGCCCTTCTTTCTATACGGCAGCCCTCTGCAGCTATCAAGGCCAGGGCACAGGTATTCTTGTGCTAGAGATATACCTGGCTGAGTCCTGACTCCATTGACCTAGCTTTGTGACAATAAGTGACCACACCTCTACACTTCAGCTCCTTCACCTGTAAACTAGGACTTGTGGCAAAGTGACAGAGTAGCAATTCTAGCCAGGTCCCTAACGCAGAACCTCGTACATATTGAGTGCTCAGTCAATGATGTTAGCTCTTTTACTCAGCCAGGACTATGCTAAGCACTTCTGGTATCCTCAACACTCACTGAATCCTCACTATAGTTTCCAGAGGTTCCTCACTATAGTTCCAGAATTCTCACTGTTGCATTTGGTAGTGGAGAAACGAGGCATGGAGAGATGAAGTCACTTGTCTTAGCATCTGGTCAATAGGACTGATAGGCTCCAAGCCCCAAACAGTGAGGCCTCTAGATGGCCTAGACCAGGCTGCACTGACCAGCTGCCTGAGACCAGCAGTTGGGGGGCCAGAAGTCTGGGGCAGGTGGGGCCTGCAGACTGCTCTGTCTGAGCCGCCAGCAATCTGGGCGGAGGCCAGAGAGCCATCCTCCTTGGTTAGAATCCTGCAGCCAGTCTCCCTGCTGTGCAGACACATAATTATATTTCACATTAAAGGGGAAGCTGGAGGCCAAGGGGGACAGGGAGCCCTTTGAGGCTTGGGCTCTGGGCACAGACCTGCCTTCTTGGCCCAATTCCGTGGCCCCAAGGTAGAGCGAGGGGTCAGATGGGTGTTAAAGCGGGGTCTCCTTGGGCCAAAGCCCAGCCTGGCAGGTCTGTTTGCCAGGATGAAAGGTTCGGGCCCTGCAGGAAGCTGAGTGATCTGAGGTCCCAGACAATAGGCCCCAGGAGGCTGAGAGGGCAGGGCGAGTGGGGACAGGCTGGGAAGAAAACCTGAGCCTCCAGAGGTGGGGGTGGCAGGAAAAGAGGGTCAGCTGGGGGTCAGGTGGAGAGGAGGGGGGGGGTGGGAGAAAAAGGAGGGAGAGAGAGAGGAAGGGAGAGAAAGAGAAAGGGGGAAGGGGAGGAGCAGGGAGGAGAAAGCAGGAGATGGGAGAAGCCAAACAGCACAAGACAGGGAGGAGAGATGCTATTAAAGAGGGGGAAATGATGTGTGTATAGGAGTGTGTATACCTTGTGTGCAAAGGAAAAGGGTTCCTTGGAAATGTACAAGCCAGGATCTGTATGCACATATGCACACGTGCAAATACCACCCGGTATAAGCACTTATACGAGTATATGCACCTGTGCACCTGCAACGCTCATGCATGTCAGGGCCTGCATTTTGCATGTGTGGATGCAGATGCCTAAGCTGTGCACCCGACTGCGCGCACGCATGTGTGCACGATTCTCTTGCCTGTGTGTGCTTGCCATGCACCTGTGTCCCTGGGAGGACATGCCTCTGTGTGTGTGTGTTCACGCGTGTGCGCGCGCGCGCGCCCCAGTGCGCAAGTGGCTGGCGGTGTGTGTGTGCATGGGGTGGCCCGGGGCTGGGGGGGCGCGGGGCCAGGCCAGGACCCGGGTGGGCGGGGGCAACGGCGGTGCGGCGCGGGGCGGGCGTGCTCTCCGCGGAGAGTTAGAGGAGTTGCCGAGCTGGGCTCCGGTGGCAGCGGGGCGCCGAGCTGGGTGCGTGCCGAGCCTCAGCCTCCCGCCGCCTCCTCGCCCTCCATTCCTCTCTCCCCGCCTTCCTTTCCTCGGCCTCGCCGCTGCCACCGCCTCCCTAGGAACGGTAGCTGGGGGCGAGGGGCTGGCGCGGCCGGAGCGGGCTAGGAGGCGCGGGGCGGCTGGGCGTAGGGGAGCGTGCGGGGCCCTAAGCGGGATCAGATAGCAGCCGGCGGGGGAGGGGGCCAGCTGGCCGCGCTCACAGCCAGACCGAGGGACGGACGCTAGTCGCGCGGGCCACACTGAGCGTCCCTCTGCCGTGGCTGCCGTCCAGTCGCGCGCCCTAGACCCGCGGCTGGACCCAATAGATCGGAGCCCCGGGCCGACGCGCCCTTTGGCATGGAGCACCCCCGGGGGCTGCCCTGAAGCGGCGGCGGCGATGCGGCCAGCGCGGCGGCGGCCGGGGCCAGGAACGGCCGCCCGGAGCTCGGAGGACGCGGAGTGCGCCGCGCCGGGGGCACTGACCGAGGTAAGTGTGCGGCCGCCCAGCGCACGGTCTCCCGGGGGCCCGCTCCAGCTCCCCAATACCCCCTCCCCAGGCCGGAGCGAGCACGAGGTGGTGCTGCAACCGGGAAGGTGGGGCGGGAGGTTTTTTCTTCCTCTCGGGTTTTTTTTTTTTTTTTTCTTCCCTTGGTGATCCATCGGAGGAAATGCTGACTGCGAGCTTTTCTTCCCCTGCCATGTCTCTGGCTACTGCCACCAGGGAACTTTGCTCCTTGCTAACCTTTGTCCTGGGGGCGCTCCGGGAAACTTTGAGGTGCCCACCCATTCCCCTCTGGTCGACTTGCAGGAGGGGGCTTGGGAGGGTGTGTGGGGAGGCACTTTCTGGCTTGGCATCAGTCCTAAGTGTGACCTTCTCCCAGACCCAGGGATCAGCATAGGGGTGTGGGGGAGTGGCAGACTGCTGGAGACCCCCAAGATACCCCCAGCCCGAGACTTGTATGTGCTTGGAGACGTTTCTCTTCCCTACTTCCTATGCTCTAATGGAGTAAAAATATTCTGGAAATGGTTCTCCGCTAGGAGCCAGCCAGCGACAACTCCAGCCGCACCTTTTTGCTTTTAGAAGTCGGCCTTGATCTCAGAGAGGATAGCTTCTCAGTTGAGAAGCCCGCAGGGTTTCAGGGTGGTGGTACCCCACACTCATTTCTGCTCTGGATGTCTTGGGGAGATGCAGGTTGAAGAGCCAGGGACCCATTGGAAGTTGTGAGTGGGTGGGGAGCTCCTGGGGGGCTTCATTTGGCAGTTAAGATCCCAGCTGTGTCTGGTGCTTGTTATGTCAGGGTGTGCGCATGTCATGTGAATATTTTAAAACCTGGGCTTGCAATGGGAGTCTCAGGAAAGTGTTTCTTTGGAGGTGGTTTTTGATTCTGGGAGGTTCTACTGCTTCCCTACAGCCAGTGTTTGTCTGGGCTCTGGGGCCACCTCCCTCTCCATTTTCAGGAGTCATACCCATTTATTCTTTCTTTGCTCTCATTGCCCAGGACTGAGTCCTGGAATCAAGTCTTGGGACCTCCTGCCCACAAATCTAAATCCCAAACCTGGTTCCTGGGCTCTGTCTTCTGGGAGTGCCGCGGTGCCCACACACTGCTGAAATCGGCAGCCACCACCTCGAAGGTGTGAACCCAGAAGGCTCTGGCCGCTGGCCTACCTTTCACCCCCTCCCTGAGGTGGAAGGCCACCCTCTGCTGCCCCGCCCGCAGCCTCACCTACTGCTGAATTGCTTCTGTGCAGCTGCTCATAGCAAGTCTCTACCCTGGCCCTTAGCCACGTGGTGGGAGAGGATCAGGGAGGGAGATCCCCACCCTGGGCCTTCTGGTTTTCGGTACAGTGCTTTTTCCTCTGTTCCAAACATCCCACCTGGGCCTGGGACCCCAAAAAGACTCCTCTGCAAAGCCCCGCTCAGCTTTCTCGTGGCCTCTCCCCTTCAACTTGGGGACCGGAGATCTCTAACTTCAAGAAAGGGATCTTGGAAAGGCTCCCATCAGGTGGAGCTAAGACCCTTAAGGGAGCAGTGTGCAAAGAGAGAGGAGCTTTCTTAAAACTTTGGGGGCAAGAAGGGGGATTTCTGTGTGCTGGACCACAGGGAAGGCCCTTCTCCACTGAGTGCACACTGTGGCACCCTGTGCGTGCTGAGTGTTGCTGGTGCACACCTGGAAGACATGCACCACAGGTCTCCTGGTTCCCATCTCCAGCTGAGAGCACGGCTAAGCCCCTCCCTAGCCCCCTCCCTAGCCTGAAGGGGACAGATCTCTTGTGATCCATTCTTGGACACCCCATGCCCAACTGCCATGTCAGACCCCCATAGGACTTCAAGATTGCTCAGGAAGGGATCATTTCAGGCAAGTTCCTGTGGAGGCACCTTCAGTGAGCTATGCTATGCCTGGAGAGGTGCCCAGAACAGGACAGGGTCTTGCCCCAAGTCACACAGCAAGTCAGGGGTTGAACAGACACCTCCACCTAGCTTTTTCCAGGCTGGAGGGCTCTAGACTTCCTATTCCAGGGTCATCATTTCCTTTCTTTTAGGTCCCCCAAAGCAGGACAAGGTAACACTGGGTGGCCCCGTGACAGTGAATTAATAATAACAGCAGAGATAATAGTAATAACTGCCATAGCAGCACCCTGCAGTTATGCAGCGCTGGGACCAGTTCCGCCTGTGAGCAGTTTCCTCTGGCTTGGTTGGGCCTCCGGTGCCCAAGGCCACAGTTGGCAGCACCTAGCATGGCACCTGGAGGCTTTGGCACATATCTGGGGTGGAAGCAAATGCATCGTCACCCTCTGTGGCTCTTGCCCGGCCCCAGACCGGAGGATGCCGGCGCCCCTTCAGAGCCCACCTGATGCCCACCTTCAGCCCCATTGCTCCCCGGCCTGGTCAAGGGCTGGGCTGTCCCTCTGACAGGTGCAGTTGGTGTCTGCTACTGGGGCCCTGCCAGAGCTATACTGTGAATGACACATGGGCACACCTGCCCCTCCCCTGGGGCCTGCAACTGGAGCCCTGCCATAGGCTGGCACGGAGGAGAGGCTGGGAGGGAGTCAGCTTGTGGGCAGAGGAGGGGTGGAGGCTGGGTTGGGCCACTCGGAAGGTGTGGTGGGTGTGGGTTCAGTCCCACTGGACAACTGCGCCAGGGGAATTGGCAGCATGATAGGGAGATGGCAGCAGGGAAGCCTGAAGATGAAAGGGAGCCGGCCTGGAACTGGGCCGTAGGCAAGGCAGGGAGGTGGGCAGGGCAGGGCTGTAGGGAGGCCTCAGCTGAGCCTGGGGGGTGGGGGTGGGGAGGCTGGCTGAGGCAAGTGGGTTTTCCAGAGGCTCTAGGACTGAGGGCAGGACTGGAGCCCTCACTGGGCCCTGGCCAAGGGCCCAGTGCTCTGCCAGCTCAGCCATTTAATTTCCTAATGACCTTTCAGTGCAGAGGGTGGCATAGCTCCATTGTACAGACAGGCGATTTGAGGCCTGGGGAGTAGTAGGAAGGGACTGTGATCTGTGCCCTCCAACCCAGAGCTCTGGTGCACTCCCAGGCACAGACCTGTTCTTCCTCTCCTTCCACAGACACTCTGCCTGGTGCTTAGTGTGCCAAGCAGGCTCCAACGTGGCATCCCCATGCACTCTGTGGCTAGAGCCATACCTGATTGCTGTATCCCTGGGAACTAATGAGGGCCTGGTACAAGATGGGCTTGTGTCTGCTCTGCTTTTCCTGGCCCCAGAGCATCAGTGGGTGTTCTTGCCTCATTGTGCTGGCCTGGTGGACTCTGGGGTGGGGACCCTGGTACCCCACTGCTCAGCTGTGGCCCCAGTGCAGAGTCTGGCATAGAGAAGCTGCTTAGTGAATGGTTGTTGAATAAATGGTGATCTGGCCCCTGTCCTGGAGGATCTCGCCTTTTGGAAGGGGCTTCAAGGCAGACATCGAGGTGCAGGGCAGGTGATGTGACTGACTGAGTCACTTTTCCTCCTGGACCTCAGTTTATCATCTGTGAAGTGGGTTGGAAAACTCCTCTGGGTCTGAGAGCGTCCTGAGAGGATCCAGGAGAGGATAGATGTGAGCCTCTGAACAGAAATGGGTGTGGTGAGAGGGCTCTGTGAAGAGAGGATGCGAGCATCTGAGAGACCAGAGCCTTGGGGACCTGCACTCCAGTCCAGCCTTCTCTTCTACATGTAGGGAAGCGCCTTCCCTGCACCCCTTTCTGTGGTCTGGGACTCCTTGAAGGTTCAGGAGACCAGCCAGGGAATAAAAACATAGAAGCTAAGACTTGTTGGGTCCCTCTCCTCCCCGTCTTACCTCGGGGCCCTTGCACTTGTCCACCCTCTGCCTAGGTCTCTCTTCCCCAGGTCTCCATAGGACCCCTTCTCTCACCACCTCAACTCTGGCCCAAATGTACCGTCTCCCCTGTCCCATCAGGCCTCTTCTCCTTCATTCTGTGGAACTGAGCCCCATCGAACACAGTGTGTTTTCTTTGTTTATTGTGTTTACTATCTGTCTGCCCTGGAAATTAAGCTCCGGAGCGCTTACACTCAGTGCTGGGCTGTGCTGGCTCACAGCTCTGTCCCCAGAGCCTGCAGTAGTATCCAGGCTATAGTAGGTGCTCAGTAAACGTGGGGGCTGAGTGAATGGGCGGTTCATCACACAGGTGTGTGACACACACTTTCACGATGGTCTCTAGGACTGCTGCCCCATCCCAGATGAGGAGAGCCAGGCTCAGAGGGGACATCCCTGTCCCAGAATTGTGAACTTGCTGGGGCATTGCTGGACCAGACCTCTCCTCTGAGCTTGCACCCCGCCATCTGTCTATGTGAGGTGGAGGGGGTTGGTGTGTTTTTCCTTCCTTTCCTCTGCTTTCAGCTCTTTCTCTCTGTGACCCCACCTGCTGCAAGCTATGGACCTTGTGTGTCCATGGCACTTTGCCTGCTGCCAGCTCTGATGTTCCCGGCTCCTCCCTGGGAGGAGCAGCTGGCCCATTGCAGATGTGAGCAAACTGAGGTGCAAGGAGCACTGCTGCCCTCTGGCTGCTTTCTCCTGCTATGGGCCTGGAGGCACAGGGCTGGGGCTGCAGGGGGCTCAGGGTCTCTGTTTCTTGCCCAGTTATGCATTTCAGAGGCCCCTTGGCTTCATGTCTGTGCCAGTGTGTCTCATCTCCCCTGCCTGCTCCCTTTTTAGAGCATGACACCAGGCTTACATTAAAAAAAATTGCCATTATCAACTTTTCCCAGTTGTAAAAAGAACCTACATGCTTTCTAATTGACAGAGCTTAACCTCTGCTACTCTCTCCAGATCTTTCTGCCTCTGAGTTGGGGCTTGTAGATGAGTGGACAGGTTGTTGGGACTCTCCTATGTGCCAGGCCACTTAGCCGATGTGTCCCTGGGGCAGAACTCACCTGTGGGGCAGAAAACAGAGCAGATCCTTTCTCATTCTCCTCCTGTTGCAACCTCTGACAGGCCTCCACCCTGTGAGGGTGTGTCCTGGGGGGAGGGTGAGACC